GCTTCTTGTTGGTCATAAGAACACGAAAAAGAGTGGTTGTAGGGATCATGTAGTTATTTTTTATCATTAAATTCTTCTTTAGTTGTATTATAGGAAAACCCCAATTACCATGTACTGTAGAATCCCTTCAATATCATGTCATAAAAAGAAAAGAGCGTTAAGAAAGAACACTTTTGGTTGGAACCTTCAGCATGTTGAACAGAATTCATGTCTCCCAAGACTTTAAGACGAAAAAATTGATCAATTAGAATGCAACCCCCTGCAACTCCATTTTTGAAGCTAGACTTTGGTTAGAAACCAAAATACATTTGTACGGTTAGTTAAGTAAGCTCAGTGGACTTCAAAATTCTTCTGCAGCAATTGTTCCTTGAAGGGCCATTCCTAACCAAGTTCGGAGCCAGACTACCCTACAGACTTACTCGTCGAAGCTTGTGGATGCTTCTCTATCAATTTCATCGGAGAATTGAGACTCCATCTACCGTGGTCGACGGTCGTACTATTCGGGAGACTGCTTATAGACTTCTCGATGTTGCCACCGAGGGAAGGACCCGATAGAGCATGTCGATTATGAAGCCGGTAGGATTTGGAAGTTTGTGGATGCTATCCGTCAGGTCTGCTCTGAAGAAGCGTTCATGACTGGAATTCCTTCAGCAGAGTGGAGTAGTTAATTTTATATTAAGGATATAATAGTCAAAACATAAGCACTTTTGTCTTACGTGAGGTTGTAGTCGTCTTATTTGTATATCCTCCATTGAACTTACGTATTTGAATTCATTCTTTCATCATTTGGCTCAGTATCTTCAAGACAAAGTTTGACTCAAATGTTCTCGCGCCTCGTGCCAAATGCATATATATGGTCATTGGAGCCAAATTTTTGAGCCTAATAGGAAGGTTTCTAGTAGTGTATATGTATGTGTTTTACTGCCACTGCAGCCCAATATTCCTACATTCGTCATGGCCATTGTTGCTCTAAATCAAATCTTGGGTTGCCAAATCCATCTCTTAAAAGAAAACTAACACTTAAGTCACCTCAAAGGATTATTAGATCCCTTATACGGTGTTGCCCCGAAATTATAAGAAATGCTTATGAATTAATTCCATAACTAGCACTAAAACAATGAACAAATACACAAATAGAATTTCCATGTCATAGCACTAAAATGTATTCACTTGACAAATTTACCCTTAATGAAATTCTAAATATATTTATAATTAAATTAAAAAATACACACAAAATATTATTTTGATCAAGTACAGTTCATGTTTAATATTCCGTCCTTCAACACAATTATATTTAATAAGTTGATATTAAAAATCGAAATTTTATTATATTGCATTGCAAAAAAATGTGTGACACTAAATCGTCACGAATTGACACATTTTTTATCACGACTTTGTGCTACTTTTTTTAGTCAAAACCAATTTTCCATATATTTTGGTTCGGGGTTTGACAACGATCTGCTAATCCATGGCAAAACCATTTTCAGAGTCATTTTGTTGCGAGATATTAGAAAGTTGACACGTAGTCGTGAAAAATAATTGTATGAATCTTTGACAAATCATTGTTGAATTCGTTGTTTTCTTTACCATCGTTGTGTTTGATTTTGTTATTCAATATTACTTTTATTAAATATTTGAGTAATTTTTAGATAATTTCAGCACGCACCTATTAACACTCGGTAGTGATTGATAGCTTTGGCGTAGGCCTTGTTTAGAGTTTGGTATCTCAAAATGCAAGTAGTCTTCCTAGACTTCTCAATTCAAATCTAACATCAAACATCTATTGAGCCAAACGCAAATCCCATTGTATAGCTCGTCGAGTTTCAAGCTCAAACCCAAACACAAGTATTGACTAAGCGAGTTGAACTCCATGCTAGATGCTTGGGCTCGTCTCGGTTTGTCAACAAACTTAATCGAAACCAAATTATGTCATTTTAGATTATTTTATTTAGAAAGTACTCAAAACCAAAATGATACTTGAGTTTTGAATAATAATGAACTTCTCTTCTTCAATTCCAATAATATTTTGAGCACTTAAAGAAGAATGGAGTGTTTGGAATTGATGTTGCTTCTACTTATTTTTAAAAACAAAGCAGAATCAGAATCAGTTTTTCAAAAACTGATCTCTCTCCAGTTTCTAAAACTTGCTTCTATGAGCAATTTGGAGCACACAGGAGTACTTCTACACTTTCATCAAAACACTTCAATATCTGTTTCTGTTCTCATAGTGAGCACAAGCAGGAGTAATTTTAAGATGTAGATCCAAAGACCCCTTATAATTCAATCAAGATTAGAAGAGAAGCATAATTTTATGAGGTGAGTGCTAAAGTTAATTTTCAAGACTCGAAGCTAGTATGGCTACAATCGAGTTCTTTCACCAAACCTTCCGCTCAAACTAATATGGATAGCTCTTGGAATGAGTTTTCTTCTTTTTTGGGATGGAGTTGGTTGAATTTGATAAAACGATTGAATTGAATTATTAAACACGTAATTACTTAGAAAGTACACCTGAAATTAACTGCAATAATGTATAAAGATAAATAAACAATTTCTTTTCCCTTTTAGTTGCATTCTAAATTGTACTCTAAGTTTTCCACCAAATCTGGAAATGTGTATAGGTGGCAAGTGTAATCACGAAACGGCACTCAATCTTGTTTACTCCTTCCGTTCCTATTAAAATTTCCAACTTTCCTTTTTCGTCCGTTCCAATTAAAACTTCCACTTTGCCTTTTTAGTAAAGAATTTTTTATTCACAACATTTCTTACACATTTCTCTCTCCTCTGCACAACTCTCCACTACACAATACTCACTATCTTAAATTGTGTGTCAAACCAATTTGGAAGATAAAATAGGAGCCGAGGGAGTACTCCGTATAAACATTAAGATGTGGCCATGTGGAGGAGTGGAAAATCATTGACTAGTCTTCTTCTGCATAGACTCAAAGTACGGTTTGGTTCAATCGTAAAGGACACTACCAGTTTTCCTTCATTGGAATGTCCGAATAATAATTCTACCCCGTTTTGTTTAATACACATAACATAATAATGTGTCAAATCATGTCTTTGTTTTTTATTTTTATTATTTTCTGGTATTTTATAATTACTCTGTTTTTTTCAAAATTAATCATTTTAGTTTATTTTCTGTGATCATTTAGAACTAAATTGTTGGATATCATAAGTAAAATATTTTGTGTAGTACTAGAATTTTCATAAACTACTAGTTTAAATTACCATGTCAGTATTATCATAGCATAGGAATGTAGCAATTTTAATACCTAAACCAAATCTTTTTCAAGAGTCGTTCGCATCAAAAAGGATAATGAGTCATGTAATTCGCGGAAAGGCTTACAAAGAAGCCTTTGTTATTGTAAGAAGGACCTATATGTAAATACTTGATTAGTATAAATATAATGTTAGGCTACCAGATAGGTAAGTCATTATTCTCCATTTTTACTATTTTACATAATGATTTCACAAGTTTTAACGATTCTAAACGTCAAAATTGAAATTTTATATCTTGACCAGTCATGTAATGATGTAAACATGCTTTTTTAGACTTTAGGGATGAAGAATTAAGAATAAACTTCAACAAGTTTCAAAAGATGAACAAGTTCAAAAGAAAGTCTCAAAGAAAGAAAATGTGTATACATATTTGCTGCTTTTTCTTGCAGCAAATATGTAAGAAAATGTGTATACATATATTACCCGCACGAGTAGTTCAGTTGGTCGAGTGGTGGGAGATTTGGATCAATGGATCAAGGATTGAATCCCCACAGCGACCGGGTGGAGATCACAGAACCTGAAATAACGTTGGGTCTCTGATGCGCACGAGTGTATGAGCGTACTGTCATTCTGCTGACTGAGTCACTGTGACTAACCTTCTCACCATCCTGTCGGATCGGAGTGCGGGCTCCTGAGGTGCGAGATTCCACCTTTTTGGGGATCAAAAGAAAAAGCATGAGTACAAGTGTAGTGAAAGGAACTATTTATCTTATAGTGACTAAGTGAGTAACTAACTTGAACACGAAGATCAACCACGACAGCTCACCTATGAAAAAGTGCACCAATAATAGACTTTCCTTTTAAGTAAACAAAATCCATACCTTAGGAGTCCATTTAATTTGTAATTTACTTTCACTGTAACACTCATTTTTTATCAAAGGTATATATTTTAATTTCACTTAGTAAAATACGGAGTATGTAATAAACAAATAAGTACAATTAAATTCAATTTTTAACTAAATTCACTAAAAAATTTTAATTTTATAATTTTCAAATAACTTTTTTCTAAATTGTCATATAATTTTTCACTTTTTCAACATATTATTCCAAAAATTTTAATATATTTATTTGTACACAAAAAAATATTTCATTAATAACATTTTTCCATAGTTTAATAAATTCTCCCTCTTCAACCACCATTTCCTCAATTTTGAACACTCATTATTATTTTATGAAATGCCAAATAAAAACTAAGCAGCAAATCAAATGATGGCAGATTAGGATGAAATTGTGAAAGAAAGACGTGTAAAACACTAAAGTAAATGAAATCATAATGAACAAAAAATACATTTGCTGAAATCAGATTGAACTATGGAAGTAATACTTACAAAATTAGATCAGATGAAAAGATATACTCGTATAAACACTAGAAACAAAATGATTGCCATAAGAATCATTTTATCTTTAGTCCAAAAGACGGAATCTCCTATCCCAAGAGTCGCCGACCCTAACCCAACAGAAAGGTGGAGGAGTAAATCACGATAACTCAGTCAACCAGGTGACAATAGGCTTTATCTCATGCGCATCAGAGATCCAACCTTATTTCAGATTCTGTAACCTCCACACGGTCGCTGCGATTTCGAACCTTGGTCACTTGTACAATTTTCCCACCACTCAACCAACTGAGCTACCCGTGCGAGTAGAATCACTTTATCTTAATCTACTGTCTTTTCTTTTATTTTCATTTACCAAATAAAAATACAAGATATTTTTCGAAATTGAAGATCAAAGGCTCAAAGCACGCATTTTATAAAACATGCACCAAATTATGAGCAATATGAAGTTGAACTAAAAGGGGAAAATGACAAGAATGCAGCAGACCTCCAGAGTTGAGACAATATTTTTGTCACAAACCTGTTTTACATTACAGGGTATTTCCCTTGGGATCTAAAGTCAGTCATCATCATAAACTAAGCAAATAAACAAAAGCAGAATAAATTACAACCCAGACAGAAGAAAAAAATTAAACCAAAACACCCCATATATGATTAATTAAAACTGTCTTTTACTTAAATACACTGTCACACAGCCTAATTAGTCACAAGACAATCTCTGAGTAAAACATTTCAGCGTAACGTTTCTATGCTCTTGCTCAGCTCCTCCAACTTTTTCATCCTCAACTTCTCACTTTCATCCACCAGCTGCATGAATATGTCAAAATGAAGAACAATTGAACATGGTAAAATATACTCCGTATAATTGGAGCTATAAAGAGGCTTAAGACAAACAGACTGTTAATTGGAAAAGGAAGCAATGAAAACCTACGTTACCGACCTCCATCAACCTTCCAATTAGCTGTGCTTTCTCTTTGTTCTTGTCGTTGAAGGCCTCAAGAGCTTCTTTATACTCTCTCTCCTGTGATCATAAATTTGAAACTCAAATGGAATTAGTTCAAAACACAAATCTTGACAAGGAAATTATTTTATGATGAATATAAGTGTCGCCAAGCAGGTTAATGAAAAAGTGGTTAGAAAGTACAGGCAAACAGTATATTGTTTTCCTTAATAAATTGTTTTTCTTCTGGCTCCAAATAACTTGTTTATGAAGGATTCATTCTTCTCTAATTAAGAATGAATGGAAGAAATATGTATGCATCTGATAGAATGCAAGAATATGATGCATAAATATCAAATATCAAGGAAATAATTGTTTTCACCTTCTTCTGGCAAGCATGTCCCAATGGTTTTAGCTCCTTGTTGATCAGATCAATCTTCTTTCGTACAACAGACACTTCCTTCTTTGTAGGATCTGCTAACGCTTCTAATTCCTATACATTAAAGTATGAGTGAGTTCATTATATGCTGGGGGTGACTAAAATGGACAGATTCTGAAACGAGCATAGTTTATTTTAGTTTTAGAAAACAAGTATTCAATACATTTCAAAATTTCTACTACAGTAATAATACTACTCAAATCTAGAAGATCGAGTTCAAGAAGGAATATATTATGGCAGTAAGGGCACAGGTAGCATAAAAGTATGGTGGTTAATTTGAATCTGTTTACCAGAGTATAGATGCTATGACACATGCGTTGTGAGATTGTAAGTTTATTTAAATGTGCACTGTTCAAGGGTTTGAGCTGAGATTCAAGATCTAGACGATATAAGACCACAATTTGATTTTGTAAATTGTTTTTACACAATTGAGGTTACCTGTTTCGTTTTACCACAATTTAGGTTACCTGTTTAAAGATTATTTTTTAAAAATTTAGCATTAAAAAATTGAAATTTTCCGGGAGAAAAATGAAATTCGAAGCATGTGAGTTTTCCATTTCAGCACACAATATATCTATATATGTAAATTATTGGAGAAATAAAGTAAAATGAAAATGCCAAAATGAGAACAAATTCCATTTTTAGGGGTAAAACAACTAGATGTAATTAATGGACAGCAAAGCAGGTGGAAAACAATAAGATCTTTAATGGAGATGAAAATAGTCAAAACACCTCACGAATACTAGCCAAACGCCTGGTTTCTTCTTCAATACGGCCTAGCTGGGCCTGGACCTTCTCTCTGACTTCTAGTTTCCTCTTCTCAATCTCCTCCTCCTTAGCCTTGAAAGTGGAAAGAGCGGACCTAGACATCTCCTCATCTTCCTTCGTCATAGTGCCATTGAAGCTGAAGCTCCCGGAAACTTGCCCGGACTGCATAAGCGTCTGAAGCTGAGTCTGCGAGTCTCCGCCCTGCCTCTGATTCGGCTGCATCTTTTCGCGGTCGTCTTCTTCCTCGACTGCTTCTTCTCTGCACTTAAAACACTGAAGGAAGAACGAAACCCTTGGTTTCCCCTCAATTTTTCTGGATTTTATTTTGCGGCTTCTTTGCTTGCTTTTCGAATTTCTGCCCTTTCTCTCTCTCTATCTCTAATATGTTTCTCTCTCTAAGAGTTTATTATCTTTTGCTTTAGCTTTGGGTTTGGTGGAGTGGGCTCTCGGTTTTGTACCGTTAGAAGGTGCGACCAAGGCTGGACTCGCCTCCCCACCCGTCACTCACGCCCGTTGCATTTTCTCACATTCTTTATTGGTGCCCCATTTTCTTTTGAAAAAAGATTGCTAGAACGCCCACATTAATTATCTGTTCACATTTTGAAATAATAATGACGTTAAATTAATAATTGGAATTTACTGACCAGAAATGTCACTCTGTTTGTACGGAATATTTTGGTGGTTTCTGTGTTTATGTATTTCGACAAAGTGGTGGATTCCTTTTTTTTACTGTACAGTACTTAATCGAAACGTTACTAACCCTTAAAATAGGCGTAATTTCGTTTACCAGAACTTTAAAATAACACTGAAATGAGTTTAATCGGTCCATTCTGTTTCTGTTGAAATTCAGTCTGATGCGATTAAATTAGTTGAATCTGCTAAATTATGAAAAACATATGTTCTATTAATAAAATTCAAGAAGAAGTTATATGAAAAAGAGTTAAATGGTTCTCTAATGTAACTTCACTAATTCAGTCAAAAAAGTAACTTCAATCTTAGTTATTTTGATTATTACACAACTTATCGAAAAAAATAAAAAAATTGTATACTTAGTTAAAATTAAACTAATAAGGCTAGTAAGCCGGAAACAGAAGTGATCAAATGGACCCTAATGACTATTTGGTAGAAAAGTGTCCTCTAACTAATTCACTTGATTAAAAAAATCCAACACAACACTTTTGTGGTGTATTGGTAATGAAAGAGTATATTTAGGCTAAGTAGAAAATAAGATGCACCAATACCTCGCAAGAGTATGTTTAGGCTAAGAGATTAGCACGATTAGATAGTCGTACGCTCGCTCATTCTGGCAACGATTTAGAAGTCTGTCGCATTAGATATCTACCTTGTTCTCTAAATTGTTATATTCTACGTCGCGAAAGTAATGAAAATTTAGTAGTGATTAGCGTGACTCAATTATATAATTTTCATGTGATTAAGTCTGATCATTCTTGAAATCCGGTTGCCCTAAAATCAATCTCTTCTCTCTTTCTGTCATTAATTCAGAAGACCCAATTAATTTAGTTTTATTTTTGTAGCATTTAATTCCAAAACAAATCTTGCACATTTGCATTTATTTTGTTTTGTTTTAATCGCTAAAATTAAATAGTAGTTAGTACTTAATTCTTTTTTCTGTCTCTGTGGAGACGATACTTATATTTAACCCTATACTATTTACGTCTATTTCAAGTGAAAGAAACACTAACATCAGATTTTGGCGTCGTGGACAGGGACGGTGTCGATTTTAAGTGTTACATTATTTTCAACGATATTTATTTATTGATTTATTTATTTATCTTTAGGTATTTTTCTCTTTTAGTTTTTCATAGGAGTTTTCTAATCTAACTTTTCACGTAAGGAAAAAATGAAAATAATTTTCATGAGGCAAGATTCGCAACTCCCTTTTCCTACTAATTAAGTTGAGATACTTGTGATGATCCCTGGTGAGGTAAAAGTCTAGAGGGGGTCAATAGACTTTTAAGTCTTTTCGTCTTTTCATGGTTTTCCCTCTAATAGAGTGAGTTTCAAGATCTATTAGGAGATCTTTGAAACTGTCACGGAAGTCTTGACCTTATATAGTGTGACACTTATAGCAACAAAGGTTATGACCCTTTCACTGAGATGGTGAGATGAGTTAGACAACAATCAAAGTATTCATGAAGTGTTTAAGAACTTCGGATAGTAAGTAGCAGGCTACTGCCTAGTTACCAACAGGGTGTTAGGGACTTAGCAGCGAGCAGCTAGTCAATATATTGTAATATCGGGATAATACCTGGATGAATATTTTGATGAATGAGATGAATATTAAGGTCTAGATGAGCAGATTGTTAATATTCTTTTGATAGGAATGAACAAGAAAATCCTGGCTAAAACTTTTGAGAGGTGTGTTTAGGATAGATGTTTAGGATGAGTATGGATGATGATGATGATGATGATGAGATGATGATGATGATGATGATGATAATAATAATAATAATAATGAATAATGTATGTTAAAAGAATAAGGGTGGCGGCAGCCCCCTATTGTCTTTAACATATATACGTATGTACTATTTAATTATTATTATATCTTTATTTAATTAATATTAATAAATGGTATTTGTTATAGTTGGAGTAGAACTGATTAGTTAGAAAGACTTTCGTTGTGATTGGGAAACTAGTTTAAAATTAGTATAAATACATTCTCCTTCTTCATAATTTGAGAGATCTAACTGTTCTTTCGGATAAGGAGAAATCACGTGAATACCTAAGGTCAAACATTATTACTGATAGACTGGAAGATCTGTAAGTTCTAACTCAGATTTCTTATTTTTTTTATATTCGTTGCTTTGTCATAATCAGGGAAGATCTGTTTGGGAAAATTTTAAACTTTCGCTCTAAACTTTTTAGGTACGTTACATCAATTTGCTAACAATAATAGTGTTGGAAGTAAAAATAAAAGGAACATAAGATATATTTTGGTTCTGAGTTGGTGCAATCTTCCTAGATACAGTCTCACCATTTTTCAGATGGATTTCACTAAGTTATTCATTCCAATACACTAGTGCCCAATCTACTCTTGATCACAGGCATAGATTGTCAGTTTTTTCACAAGAAGCTTGAACACCACTCTAAGCGACTCATTCATATCCTCTACAAGGTTTTTCACTAATAGCATTGACTTGCTAAGAGCTATTGATGTCTTTCTTCTACACTGGATTTGATCACGAAGCCCTCCAGATTTACAAACAATTTAGTTTACAAGGTAAATCTAAACCTCCAACTAATATAAGCTCTAAAGGTATTTCTATGAATGAGCTAGTCTAAGTGTTTAGTGAAGTGGGGTGAGCTATGAATATGAGTGATGAATTAGCACTTTCTCCTTTGCTAGAAATTTTGTATATGCTCATTTTTCTTTCTTAATTAGTAGCACACTGTTAACTCACCACACTTTCATTGTTTTTATAGACTTGAGTTGTTGAATATCTCCCCTTGGCCATGAAGATTCAATCTTGAGTGTTTGGTTATTCCACTTGGTGACAGTGAAGCGGTGTGGCTCTTTTTTGTCTTTATTTGAAGTGGTCAGTGTCCTTTTTGTCTCTAAATGAGCCCATAAGGATTTTGCTCATTTCAAGGAGTATGGCTGGAATCTTCGTCGCAACGCCATATAAACAATTTGAATGCTTCTACTGTATATGGGTCCCTCTACAATAGTGAACGAAATAATTGATGTAAATATCTTGTTCCTGAAATCTGAAATTTAATACTAAGTTAGTTTTACATATTTCAGGATGAATGAGTTTATTTACTTCTACCTTTTTATAGTTTTACAGTTTTCAGGATTCTCATACCAAATTTATAAAGTTTATGTGGTTCTAAATCATTCTTACTGTAGTAATTAATATCAACCACATAAACTCACTTTTTAATAACGGTGTCGTCCCTTTCCTTCCCAATATTAGTGGGACGGAGGTAGTACTATTTATCCTCATTAAACTCCTCATCAATATTACTCTCTCATACCACAAAACATTCAATCTTCTTACTCTTACCCTCCAACTGCATAACACTTTCAATCTCAATCTTTTCATCATTATCCTTCATTACAATACCCTAGGGTAAGATCAGCCTCCATTCTTGAGTATCTTCTCCAACCTAGAACTCTTGAGGAGTTGTCTCATTACATGCCTAAGAATAACTTTTGTTCCTTTTATGAAAGACATCACTATGTATCTTTCCGTCCCGTTGGACTTCCACATGAGCATCCCTACTGGGAAATTGCATATCCCTCTTCATCCTTCCAACAAATTAGGAGCACAGATGTTTCTACCAAACCAGCATCTTTGCCAAGTAGTGAGCCACAAAATAAATGGGAGGGACCATTCTTTGATTCTTTGCAAACCTTGGTGGATACATTACAATCCCTTGTTTCTGATGGACACAAAATTTCTAAAGGTGTTGCTAGATATGTGTCACAGTGGATGTTTGAGGACAATCAGGAGGCACACGAGAGTGAGCCAAGCTATGATGATTTGTATAAAATGGATGATGCACTTTTGGATGATTTTGAGGACCCACCTGTATTTGATCTTCAACAACAAAAATTACATTCGAGTGTGTGTACAAAAAATACATGCAATACATGCAAAAGTTTCAAATGATACAAGCTGATCTAGATGAAGACACAGATCATTGTGATGCACATGCAAAAACTCTCCAACCCTTTCATTTATCATTTGTCTGAAGGCTTGACAAGAGTATGGAGCAGATCGGTCATGACATTGATGAGGCTACTAGAGTGAGTTTGGATATTGAAGATGACTTGAGAGAAGATAATCATCATGTCAAAAAGAGTTGTGATGAAATGAATGATGATCATATTGAAGAAATCTCGATCACCATGAAAGATGAATCCTCTAGCATACATTTAGTCATCCACTCTTGGGTTATTCCATATTTAGATTTATTTGATTCACTTTCCAAGATGATATTCATTGTATGTAAAATGATCACAAATTCCTTGAAAACATTAATAAGAGTAAACATTAATAAGAGTTAGGATGCATTCATGGAAAGTGTTGATTATGAAGTTTTGTTGATGACTAACCTTAAACATAAAAGAACTCTATCCTTAGGTCCAAAACAAAAGACAATGCCTTGTCAATTCACTAAACCATACAGGTGGACCTTTGGATAGAACTACGATTGGGTCTATCAGGGACGAACTTCGTTCTGGTAGGGATTAAATTATGGTCATGCTTGATAAATGAAGTAATTTGATATATGCCTACTGACAATGCCTCATACACATGACACATCTCTTATGCATGACTAAGATTCACTTTATTGAGTCAATCTATATATGTGTCACGTAAACAAACCCTTGTCACTATTATGGTAATAACAATTTCATATATGCAAAGAAATCAACCTATCTATTCCATAAAGATTAGCCGAAGACTTTTTTTGTAAAGATATTTTCGTAGCTTGGTTTAAAATTGCGCATGAATATCTTATTTCTACTTAATATCCTTTGCATATTTATATAATAAAGAAAATCTATATTTCT